GCATTGTGTAGATACTTTGTCGATCGTTTTCATCAAAATATCGTCGTTCAATCAAGCATTTTTCAATAATTCCTTCAGTTTCGCAGCGGATGGGTGTCCAAATTGTCTGTGAAGTTTGTTAGCGAGTTTTTCCTTCTGTTTTGAGGTTTCCATTGAAATATTGATCAGGACATCTTCTAACACTTCTGCTTCGTATCCAGACGTCAACAAGGGTATGAAATAATGCCCAGACCTCGAGATCCGTAATTGAGTGACAACTCCACAAATAACAGCTTCATCAGTTATAAGATCCAGGATCACTCCAGCCCGTTTTAGCGAAGGTTTCCCCAGCAGAAGTGGTAAGTTTGAATCGACGACTGATATCTCACAATGAATAATTACTTGTTTGGCAGACTTCAATCTGTTTCCGCTTCCAAACTTGAATACTTTGTGTGTCTTTTTCAACAACTTTGGATCTTTCAACTTTCGAAAGGGCGTCTAGATAACAAGTCAACCATGTTTCTCCGCAAACAGTGACCGAGCATGCACTGTCTAAAACAGAACACACCTAACAGTCCGGACGCCTCTGTTTGGCCAGAATAAAGAATCTCTTCTAGTTTGGCCACTTTTTTGATATAACATTTCGTCGTAAATAAAAAAATTTCGCACTCTTCTTCGTCATTATCTGCGACAAGTGCGGAATTTTGATCTTTACGTTCTTTATCCGGACACACACGCTCAAAGTGGTTTATCGACTGACAGATATTGCACTTTGTATACCTGCCATGAAAATCTGGGGGGTTCTTGCCAACTATCTTGGGTTTTGGATATTCTGTTCGGTGTCCCCGGTTATTGTAGAATCGTCCCTTATATTTTCCTCGACCACGGAAGCTTCCATTAATTTGCATCTTCTGTGTGATAAGTCAGTTCCAAATTTACTGAGGCATCTTGATTTGATGTCATTTCCGAAAATGACTGCGTTCCAAAGAACTTCTTTAGCGGTTTCATCATCTGATCAAGTAATTTTTCATTTTTGCTATAATCCACGGCGGTTAAGACAATTGTCTTTTCGTGGTTCTGCAGTCCAGAAAAGTCTAGCAGCTTGAAAGCTAAGACTGCTTGCGGTAATTCAATTTTGTGTTTCTTCATATTGTTGTACAGCCTTGTGAACTCGGTATTCGTCGATAGACTGATTTCCTGTCCTCTTACATTGATCAAAACTTCTCCAAGCGTCATATGCTCCAGACAAGCGTCATATGCTCCAGACAAATCATCTTTCTTATAAAAATCGTCTAAACACTTGATCAATTCAATAACGCCAGCCTCGCTTTTCAACTTATTCATTTCAATGTCGTTGAAAACTCTCACGGATATTGAGTTTCAATAGTTCGTCGGATATCGGCAGGGATAAAGCCACGACCATGCGTCTTTTGGCCAGAGGGATATCGGTAACATCGTTCCAAACGTTTACTCCTGTTGTCCACTGAGTGTACGACTTAGCACCGCTCACGATCGTGGGTGGGGTTTTGTAGGAAGACATTTTCCAAACTACCTCCTGCTACCATGAAAATAAAACAGGATAAGATACAGGAATGACTTAAAATCCCACCATCACTACACATACAAACACTGAAACAATTACACATTTACACATTGACAAGTAATGCATTTATGAATACATTTAGGTATAAATGCACCTTTTGAAATCAATTGAAATTTATCTGCTGAAAGTTACGTATATAGCACTCTCCAAATACAAACGTGGAAATGGCGCGAAAAACTGAGTTTCGAAAGTGGTTTTTAGATTTCCAGCGGAATATAAACTTTACCAATTGATCCAATTTTATCAAGTTGGGTTAATTTTATCAAAGAAGCGTCGGTCATAAATCGTTTTAGAAATTCAAAGAGCTTAAAGGGTATCTATTTTTCTTAGAAATTCGAAAGTTTTAGAGCTATTTTTCCCTTTTTCGTTTGTTCGCGGAGTACAGCTTCACTTCTGTGTAAGATATTTACTTTTATACTGGACCAGTTAATGTTCTTACACTCACCCACCTCATTCTGTAAAATAGCTGATCACACAGATTGCCATGTTTGCAAACACAGCCTCGAAAGTTTTTCCATATTTCATGTTGTGGGCTGCAGAGCAGAAAATTTCATTCTGATAGATTCTTTTATACACTGCTCCCCCTAGAAGTTTCCGAAATCAAGAGATCACCTCCAACCAAGTACAGCCGTAAAAAGCCCAGAAGCAACATCCCCGGAAACAAACATTCATCGCCACAAGCAACCGACATCCGAACCACTCCTCGCAACAGTGTTCCATGACGGTTGGATATTAATATAGCCACGATTTCAATTTTTGATAAACGACATATGCAACGAGTTCGCGAACTAGAACCGACCTCTCAAAGTTCTGAAAGAAGAAACATAAGTTTCAATTAATCGATCTACTGGGCTAACAGCTGCTTCTAATGTGGAAGCAAGGATCGCTCGTAACCACACTTGTCGAAGCAAGACTCACTCTTCAAAGCCACAGCTGCGCACATTTGTGGAAACCAGGATCACTTGTTTTAAACTTCCCGAACAGAAAAAAGCGAATTGAAAGGCGAAAGTATACATTTTGATAAATTAATGAAAGCATGCAATATTCTGCACTTGGCTGTCTTTCGGAACAGAAAGCAAAATTAGTGTTTCACCTGGAGGATTCATCGAAGAAAAAATTGAGTCATCAAAGAACCCAACAAAAGTGAAAAGAGACACGCTCCCCTTCCAGCACTCTACATACAAACAATAACATCTCAACAATGTTCAAAATTGTGCTGTGAAAATGCTTGGATGTCACGGCCACTTGGATGGGATGCATTCGAATGGAGAATAATGTTGACTTATTTCAAACAGACATCAGCAGACCTTTGTAAAAAACCATCAAAGCTGTCCTACCTAATGACAAACAAAAATCTACCTTCTGAAAACCTAATAGCCTACATTTAGACTCACCTGATACCTTTGTGTAAAAATCCAGAAGTAAGGCCTACCTATAGGTGCGATTCTCAGACGGAGAAATGGCATTACTATCTCCCAATGCATAGAATCCAATCCAAAAAAATCAGGGAACACATTTCAACGCTGCTTAGTCCAGAAAGGCGGGATCGACACTACATCCTAAGATCGGAATCTGAAAAGCCCGAAACAGACGCAATCTTACTTTCTATACTAAAACGCACTCTAACTAAAATTACCCTTCAACAAGCATTTCTGGAAACAACTCAATCTTTTTACGATATAAGGAACAACACAAGAAGATTCTCTAGCAATTGCTATATCGGTATGGAAAAGCATTAATTTCACTGATCGAGCTCCTGGAAATTCCAATTGGCACCTCAAAATAGTACGCGGACGATAAAAGCGTTGCCGGTGATTTAGAAAACCTTCGAGCGATCCTGTACTACCTTGAAAAACACGGAAAAGCTTTCTTATTGCCGGCTCTTCTTGAAGGAAAACCGCCAGGAAAATGGCCTAGAATAATTTAAGGAACAAACTTGAAAACCGTATATGATTTCCTAGTCCTCGGATCGGTGATCTGAAACTCGACAGCGTGCGATCGATAGGTTAAAAAACTGATTGTGAAATCAAATAGACTAACAAAAAGTTTTCCGAAATAGTCAGAACATGCCTCAGAATACCTACTCATGCTTCACAAAAGGTCTACCTATTTCATTGAGTTTTAAAGACAAGCCTCAGACATCAGTTAATCCACAGTGGTAAAAAACATATAATTGATGAAGATCGCAGCTCTTCGTTTGAGAATGGGAGGTCTCGATCTCCCCATGAGGTCTCGATCTTCCTTCTTAAATTTTTCTACAATCTATCAAATTTCACGGACCAAGAATATTCAAAAATTCAAAGCTAAGAATATTCAAACACCAAAAGTAGAAACAAAAAATAAAAGTGCGTCTCCTTTAAAATGGTTCATCAGATAAATGGACTAAAAATTTAGCTTTACAAAACGAAGCCTCAAACTAGTTTTTCTCAGCAAATCCGAGTTCAAAGATGACATACTTTTGAGATATGCCCGGAAACCGCCACACACTATTTAGTAATGCCCTTGTGGTCAACGTTTCTTTCTCGCTCAATCACTTGTTTGCCCAAAAGATTGATACACACCCATAAGACATAACAGGATTTGTGACACCTTAGCGACGCTCCTAGATGAAGTCTCACATGACACTGAGTTAGAGCCAATTCTTCAATGGTTGAAAAGCGAACCTTGTCGATATAAGGCAAGACGCAGTCTGCAGAGGAGTGATATCAAGGCTAATGGACTCTTGGGAGGCCGTTTCAGTCGAATCTTTTTCGGTGTGAATATTTGCATTCCACACCAATTTATGCCAAAAACCATGACCGACGCTTACAAGTATTATGAAAGAATGAAGACCTTGAATTACCGACGACTATTCTTTGAAGTAGTACATCAACTAGAATAGCAGTTGCCTTTCACTATTTTTTGCATGTATTTAACGAGCAGCGCCTGGCTTTGCTGACTTAATCCTGAAGCTAGCCAAATAACTACATGAAAAATGAAACGGATTTTATGGCTACACAATAAAGTTAATGCGACGCAATACGTTTTTTTGAAACGAAATATGTTTTGCACTCTTGATGAGTGCAACACTTACGAAATTCAAAAAATACACACAGTATAGACATTTCTATTTGTGCAGTAATCGAGGTGGTTAGATTTTAAATTACAAGTCTCTAGAAGCTATAAAAGCTGATCAGAAATTTTGTTCCCGGTTGCATTTATCGAGCGTTTGTGTTATCTATTCAAGCTGTGCAAGGAACGTGGTATGACGGAAGGTTTCCTTTTAAATGAATCTATGCTGAAAAGAAGTTAATTAGTTCTCTTTCAAATTAGCAAAACAAATTAAGTCTTAATGTTAAATTGAGTCTTGTATGACATAATTATCAATGATAGTTCTCAAAATTAAATCGCAAAACTTCACATAAATAACATATTTTAGGGCCACAGGAGATCAGTCAAAAGTGAAATCATTTCTTCCAGCAGAAAAGCAGTACCTAGTCACTCGAAATGGTAATAATAACCAGTCTATTAATTTGACAACTCTTCATTGGTGTCTAATTGGGTTATTTTTAGTGCCTTGCTACAAGCGATGCAGACACATGGAGCCAACCGAAGGTCTTGAAAAGCTTCTGGATGACGATTGGGTTGACACACACCATTTTTCTGCAGGTTTAAATTTCGCATAGCTTAAGTTTCAGTTCGAGGTAAAAAGCAATCAAAACAAGAACTCGTTCACGTTTTTTTGCTCCATTTCCGCAAAAAAACCATTGCCGTAAATTGATGAAATTAATGACAAATTCAATGTACTTTTTGGGTTAATTACTGCCAGCAGAAGAGAATCGTATCATTGAAATCAGGGCGATGATTTTTTCCTCTAAAAACAACCGTGAACCTGCCATTTAATTTTATCCCGCAGAATGTTGAAACATAAAAAGCCAATAAACGTAGTGAAGAAACTTATATTGATCGTGATGCTATTTTTTCAGGAAAGTCTTCAAAATATGTTGACCCCCAGTTTGTTTTTTACAGTTTGACTGTTGATTTTTTTAAGTTCAATTCAAATTCATTTGTTAAAAGAGAGCAAATTATGCTCTTCAGTTATAAAAGCGGAAGTGGCGCAAAAAATGTGAACGAGTTTTGGTTTCGAGTGAATTTTGATTTTTTTTCCAGTGGAAAAAAAAATTTCCCTACTGATCCATTTCCCTAAAATTGGAATATTTTTTTATCCAAAACGTGTCAATCATAATATTTTCTGAAATTCAAAGAGCTTTAATGCCAAATTTTTTCTTAAACTCGGAAGTTAAAAGAACTTACGAAAAAATGTCAATCTTGTTTTTTTTAAGTCTGCGTTTATTGAAATTTTACCCTCTGGCTATTGGCTAGGTTATACAATGGGCAGAGTGTCCATTGCCAACTTATCGTTATGACCAAATTTAATTTAGACAGTAACTCAGAAGCAGTTCAACTCAGTGGGACTAGTAGCAATGGAATGAATGAGAGTAGAGCTGCGCCTCACTCAAATTCAGCACCTGCAGATGACGACGACGAAGAAGCAGTGGACTTAGAAGGTCAATTGAATTTCAACGTTTTTTAAAGCAACGTTATTCAATAAGTTGAACATTATCTCTGACTCCGTTTTTTACACAAATGCAGCGTGGTTTCATGTTACAAAGCGACTTTTTTCTAACCCCACTATTTAGACAAGCGGAGCCTAGTGTCTTCTTACGGTATCCACTTTTTTCCAACCAAGTCGCAAGTAAATAGTGCTCCTAAAAGTGACTTCTTAGCATTATATCTGGTTCACGTGTACTTCATAGCATTATTTTTTGTTTCTAGTTTTTTTATGGCTAGTATTAAGAAAATTTACGGGATTTGGTTTTTTAATTATGTTTTGAGAGGCTTTGTATAATTTTTGCTCTTTTCGCAAAATTTTTAATTTTCTCGAACTACTCAGTCGATTCTTTAAAAAAGTAGTACCAATATAAAGACCGGCTACTCCATTGTTTCTCTCCATGCCTCATTAGTCTCTTTTTCACTTAACTTGACGTTCTACCGCCTTCGAAAATTTCATTGAGCGTATTTTTTAGCCCAGTTTTTTATGCGTTTTTTTCTTCTCGAAAAGTATCCTGCCAAATCTGAGATAAAGGATTTAAGAAAAAACATTTTATGGCATTACCCATGCAAAAGCTACTACGCCCTTTTGAGAAAAACAGTTACTGGCCTTAAAGAGTTTCCAACTTTTGACCGTTTTTTGAAACTTCTTCCTTTTCTCTAATACTAACTTGCCTTGTTAAATCTTAGATTAAAGGCTCAATCGAAAAAAATGGTCTCAGGAATCCTTAGTGCAAAAACGACTTTGCCCTTTTTTTTAAAAAAAAAAACAAAGTTATGGCAATAGAAATTGTCCGGTTCGAAAGTTTTGAACGTTTTTGGAAACGTTTTTTTTTTCTCAAAAACTACACGCAAAATCTAAGACTAAGGGTATTGATTTAGGACAAAATTTACTGGGAATTGAAACACCTACCCTCTATGAAATTACTAAACTTTGGTTTCAATGACTCGCCAGTTTTTCCGGGTCTCAAAATGCCAGTTTTCACTGTCTGCGCCAGGTTGTGCATCCGAGTGAACTCTTTCTCGAATATGCGGAGAAAAAAATGTGGAAGATCAATTTAAAACATTTTAATGCAATTTGAAACATTCTAAGCGATAAAATTGAACTGTGCAGTGTGACAACTTCTCTAAACGCGGCTGTTTCTTACCCTTTCATGCGTTTTTTACACCAGCGATCAGTTTAGTGTATTATTCCGATCCTTCCTTTTTTTCTAATCTAACTCGCAAGTAAAGGTATTCATTAAAAAAAAAAACAAAGTTATGGCAATAGAAATTGTCCGGTTCGAAAGTTTTGAACGTTTTTGGAAACGTTTTTTTTTTCTCAAAAACTACACGCAAAATCTAAGACTAAGGGTATTGATTTAGGACAAAATTTACTGGGAATTGAAACACCTACCTTCTATGAAATTACTAAACTTTGGTTTCAATGACTCGCCAGTTTTTCCGGGTCTCAAAATGCCAGTTTTCACTGTCTGCGCCAGGTTGTGCATCCGAGTGAACTCTTTCTCGAATATGCGGAGAAAAAAATGTGGAAGATCAATTTAAAACATTTTAATGCAATTTGAAACATTCTAAGCGATAAAATTGAACTGTGCAGTGTGACAACTTCTCTAAACGCGGCTGTTTCTTACCCTTTCATGCGTTTTTTACACCAGCGATCAGTTTAGTGTATTATTCCGATCCTTCCTTTTTTTCTAATCTAACTCGCAAGTAAAGGTATTCATTAAAAGTGTTCATTTATTTGGAAATTTCACTGTAGCATTAGAAATTGCATATTTGTGTCCGATGTTTGGTAACTATCAAGCTTCCGTGGCTGAGTGGTTAGCGTTGGGCTCTGAATTTCTGAGTCACAGTTTTGAATCTTGGACGTAGCCGAATTTTTGCTGATAGAGCTCGTTTATGTCGTGTTCTCGCTAGTGTTTGCGGAGCAATACTTCGCCACTGTGTGAAAAAGTTGATGCAGATGGTGAAAACTGGCATTTTCAGACCCGGAAAAACTAGCAAGTGCTTCAAAATAAAAACTGAGACTTTTAGAGAGGGTAGTTCGGATCATTTGCTGTCGGTCGATGTAAAAATTTTGTTAAAACTCTAAGTATAATTTCTGTCAGTCTTAACTTTTTTGTTCGCTATTACAAACCGCGTGAAATTGTGAAAAAAACGAGTCAAGAAGTTTTCACAATGAACAGGTCAGATCGCATAAATATACTCCGCGTATTGGAGAAAAAGTTCACTCCTATGTAAATTATTTGCAGATGATGAAAACCCATCTTCCATATATACATATACACCTGATAACTCCTTGAAACCAAATTTTGATATTTTAAGAAAAGGTTTCTCTGATTTGCTCTTTGTCCTCTAAAAAGTTGTGTTAAAAGTCCTGTAAAATGTTGCACAAAACGGTTCTAAAAAATTGAAATTTCAGAGATTAAAAGCTAAATTGTCCTCTAGTGTGTTAGCGTGTGTTTAAGGTTTAAGTTTCGAAAAAATAGTAGTGAGATAGTTTTGTGTTGTTGCAGAATTTGTTGAGGGGGGCTCTTATCTCGAGGACGATGATCCCAACTTAGGACCATCGGCAGGAAAAGGAGACGAGGGAAGTGCTGCGGATGGGGAGGGAGAAGGGAAGGAGAAGTCAGGGGGCAGTGGGGAGGGGACAGGGGCTGATATTGTGACCACGAGAACATATGACCTAATGATCACGTACGATCGATACTATCAGACCCCGAGACTGTGGCTGTGCGGCTACGACGAGGTAAGTTTAGTTGATCCCGTTTAGCTATTTGTATTTAAAAACTAGTTAAAATAGTCAGGATTTTGCCAAACAGAAAACTTGTAATTGAATCAGAATAGTTTTTAGGCATTTTTTTGAAAGTGTTTCCTTACGTAATCTCTGTTCAAATGCACGTTATTTTTTGTTTAGAAGCGCAAAAACCTAACAAAGGGGCAGATGTTTGAGGACATCTCGGCGGAGCATGCACAACAGACAGTGACCATGGAATCCCACCCTAACCTAAATGCACCTTCTATGGCCTCCGTACACCCCTGCAGGTACTAAATAAGAAACCTTTTTTAAAGAGTTTTCCTTGCGCAATTGTTTTATGTGACAAGGTAATAGAAGATAAATTGAAGGCTGGTGAGTTGTGAGTTTTATTAAGAGTTGTTGAACGAAGTGAAGATATTATTTAGGTTCTGATCTGGGGAGGATTTTCTCGAGGGGGGGGGCGGGTTTTCAAAAAAAATTCCAAAGTTTTCTCAACCTTTTTTTAAGTCGATCGTATTTGATTTTCCGAGATCTCCCAAAGCATTAAAAAGTCCCTGTTTTAGCCAAATTTTGGTTTTGATGATTCTTTTTGGTTTGTTTTCAGGAAAAGTATTAAAATGCTCTAATAACTACATAAGTGCATTCATACAAAATAATTCTTTTACAAGTGCATTTAGGTATATATTCACTTTTTCATTTATATGCACTTTTTCACTCTGTTCAGTTCAAGTGGATTTGCTAAACGGTAGGTAGGCAGATTGTGCTCTCCAAAAATGAAAGCGGAAAGGTCACATAAAACGTGATCGACTTCGATTCGAAAGTGGATTTTAATTTTCAGATTTCCCAGCGGTATAAAAACTTAAATATTGATCCAGCTTTCTCTAATTGAGTTAATTTTATCCAAAAACGTCAATAATGATTTAATAATGATCTGAACGCTGAAATTCAAAACGCTTTAAGGGCATATACTATTTCTCTAAGTTGAAATTCGAAATTTCAAATACAAAAGTTGAACTGTATGCTGGCTTTGTTTAAATTATACTCGTTTTGAGTGGTATTTGATTGAAAAATGAGCATGCTGATCGTTTCTAATCGTAATTAGACCACTCGCAAACGTTAACTCGCTAAAGAGACAACTCGCAAAACAAATAACTAATTGCACTTTTCAAATTATCAAACCAAAACCGTCCAGATTCACCCACACAATACCACGTAAACTAACTTTCATACCTTGCGAGTTGTCTATTTGTATGATTTGTCTTTCGTTGCGAGTTATCGCGGTACCGCTGAGTACACAACCGAGTATGCGAGCATTATGTTAAAAAACGAGTCCATGTTTTTCCAACCGAACTAGCATAAAACAGTGTCATTTTTGGTAAACATTTAGCTGCATAGTTTTTGCTGCTTAATAGCTTGTGTTCTCCGCTTATGAGTGTTCAGTGTTTCGGTTCTGTTAGCGTCAGAGCCACAGTTGTGAGGGTAGTCGAGTTGGATCATCGAGGCCTGTGGTTGTGAGCGTATTGTGATACTACAGGGCTGCTTTTTAACAACCCAAAGCGCAAATTTTAATGCTACTTTTTTGGTGGCATTGTTGCAGCAGGCGACATTGACAGTGTGGTAACTAACAGAACCTCTGAGGTTCTTTGATGAAAACTGAATTGGTTTCATAGGATTAATTTAACCGTTGAACCGTATTGTTTTTCTTTTAGTTAGTTTCCGAATTTGACTGTGTACAGAGTCACAGATCTGAGAGAGAATAACTCTCTATCTTTTCAATAAAGGTCGTATAGTGTTGACCTTGGTTATTTATAATAAGATACTATAATTTACAGATAACAATATGAATAGCACGTTCAAGGCCACTATATGATTACTGCATGGTTACTGATATTGCAGTAGCAGTTGCGGTACCACATACCCCCTCGGCCAAGAAAAATTTTATAATACGTTATCAAATTTTTAATAATAATGAATAGGAGTTTCAATTCTCAGTTTAAGGAGTTTTATTCTTTTTAGCTTTGATTTGTAATCACTTTCCATCTCTTTCCTCGTGTTCTTCCTCGAAATTTAGTGGGATTCGCCACTCCGCGTTCCACGATCGGTTTATGTCGAGAGCCTCGCTGCCAAACTTTCTTCTGAAAAGGTGCTTCTCAAGCAGACCAAATTTGGTTTCCACCGAATTCGACGCACCGGGTCTGAAGTTCGCTAACTTAATTCGGTATGCTTCGAGTGCGGCTCGGTTTAAATCTAATAGATCGTTTTGATACGAGATTGACTTTACCGAATGTTTAATCGGATTTCCGTATCTGGTTGGCCCCTTCTTGGCTCTTCCGCTTTTACGAACTGCTGTTTCCTCAACTTCTGACTCATCCGAGAACCCCGGAGGATTCATAGATTCTTCCTCGACTTCCGCGTCCTCTTTAGATTGCAATATCTCTGCCGCCGTGCGTTGTACTCCGCGTTCGAGTACTTGGTCAGCTAACCGATTCCAGTCATTTGCCGATAGATCTTTACTATTGAATGTGTCTAGAATTGTTTCTGGAGATGTATTGCGTGAGATTTCTTTCTTGTTTCTCGTATTGCAGTGTGTAGTAGAAGTCGAATTTGGTACGTCTCTTGTGTTTGACGAGCACGCTTGATCTTCCGCTTGAGGTTCTTGCACTACTGCTGCCGTCGCAGCATTTTTATTTTGTAAAGTGCTTTGTGCATCTTTTGGGATTGTGTCCACCTTTGCCTTGGGTTTTTTAGCGAATGGGCCAGCCAAGTTTGGCTTTGATCTTCGGACTGCTAGATTTAGGCCACCGCCTTGCAGAATGTCCTTTGACGTGACCACCGACGGGCTGTCTTGAAATTTCCGCTTTGCATCAGATGGATCTGTGCTTGGCTGCTCTAGCAGTAGTTCCTCGTCCGACTGACTAATTTCGGCCTCGTCCTGTTCGTCGGACTGTCGCTTCAATTGCCTCTGTTGCTTATTCTTAGGCTCGTCTCCTGTTGGGGAACGCCTGTTGTTGCTTTTTTTTCTTTGTCTTGAACAGCAGCCTTAACTTTGGCAATGTCACTCTTTCGGTATATGGACCCTGCTGCTGTCTTGAGAGTGGAGGGCGTTTCGGCCACGACTCTTCCCTTCAATGGCTTCGTAAGAGCCTTACCGCTTTTCCTCCCCTCGTCCTTTCTAATCAGGATTGGTGACGAATGGCGTTGATTGGAGATGGTTTCTGGCTTGTCTTCAATGAACCCACGTTCCCACGAATACAGCATTTCTTTGCGCAATTCGGGGTTAATGGTACTCGTCTCGTCCACCGTACGCCTTAGGTCATTAGCAGATGTATCGCGTCGTGTTTGATTCCATCTGGCATTGGCTTCTAGAAGCTCTTTCAGGGCCCGCGCTCTTGCCCGATCCTTTGCCAAGTCTTCTTGTTGTTTGAATAGTGGACTCACGTCTCGGCTGTTTTGTCCTTTTCGGACAATCTTTAGAGTATCGCGAGACTGGTCGATTCGCTTTTTGAGTTGGGAGGCCGTCAGAGCTGAACGTTCCAGGTGTTCCTTATCTAAACGATCAGAGTTTCGTAAAAACCTATCACTGAGAATTTTAAATTCTGTTTTTGGCAATCTCCCAAAATGAGCCTCAAATGGCGACATTTTAATTGTCTTCTGTTTACTCCAACGGAGGTCACGAAGTATCGTTCTGAGGCATAATTTTATTGATGTTACGTTTTCATCGAGTAACATTACTCCCAACCTTCTTTTGATAGTTTGTATAGTGCGTTCCACTAAACCGCATCCGCGATGGTCTCCAACTGGACAAAATTTTTGTTCCATGTTATTGTCGGAACAAAATTTTCTCATTGATTTACCCTTAAACCCGGAAAATTGATCAGTTCTAATTGATTCGGGTATCCCATGTATATCAATATATGAGCGAAGAAATTTTATCGATGACTTTCCCCTGTTGATTTAGTGATTTTTACTGACGGAAATTTTGAATACCTATCTATTGCTACCAACAGATAAATTTTTTTCCTTTGTAATCTTCAAGTGGACCGGCGTAGTCTAACTGAACTTCTTAACCCGGCTGCGTCAGCAGTGGAAGGGGCTTTGTAGCATTTTTTGGTATGATGTATTTTGCATTTTTACCGTAGCGGGTGCAGCTTCTGCATTCCTCTGCAAGATTGACGATATCCTTGTGCATGTGCGGCCACCACAGGTATTTTGACACATCAAGCATCGCTTCCTGACCTGGGTGACCGCGGTGGATCCTCTTCAGCACTGCCAAGCGCAATTGTTCCGGAACAGCTAGTCTGTTGTCAACCAGTATACAGTCGTCCACGACTGAGAGTTGATGCCAGAGAGGATTAGTATACGGGCCCATCAACTCGAAGCTGTATCGGTCATTCCTCTCACTCACCCGCCGCAATCTGTCCATCCAAGCGTCCTCTGATATCAGTTCCGCTAAGAGGCTTCTATCAAACAGCTTGGTGAGGTTGTCAAGGCAGATTTCTGTACTCATATCTCTTTGATGCGATCTGCTTCTTCTGGAATCTTGACCTGTTTTTTCCTTCTTAATTATGCTGACTTCTGGACTTTCCGAAGGGCTTTCAGCTGTAAGGTCCACTTCAATGATTTGGGGATTTCCTCTCTGGGTATTGAATTCCAATGACTGATCACTTCTGTTAAGATCGTCCAAGACTGTCCGTGCTTCTAATTCTAGTAAGCTTTTTGGGTTATTTGGTTTTTCTGCCCCCATGAGGTCCCAAAATGACATCAGAGTTGTTTCACTATTTCCTGCTGCATTTCTGGATGTGATTTCTTTACATCCTTTAGACTTGACTGGTTTTCTTACTGTCCTCCACTCAACCTGGGGTACATCTGACTCGGAGTCGTCTGACTCTTGCCTACTGCACGCAGCACCTCTCTTCACCATCCTTGTTCGGGAGAAGGTGGTTTCCGTCACTTGTTCTGTTAATTCGTCCTCCCTCCGATCTCCATTCTGTCTGTTTAACGTTTTCTTTGATTTTCCTGTATTGCTTTTCTCCATTTCTTTTGATAACGCCGCCTCCGTGAAATCCGCTGATTGTTTTAAATTCGAAGTATCTTTTTTGATAGAAATTGTGTTAAATTTTGAGTTATCGACCAACTGTTTCTCACGAGCTAATTTGTCCAATGTGTTTTTCTGATTCTGATTTGTTTGAAAACTTGAGTTTTGACCGTTTTCGTTCCGGTCGAGCTTTGTCCGTTTTTGAACAAATTGGTTGTCATAGCAACCGCGTGATGAGCTGTTTTTACAGTAGTTAGTTTCTCCTGTTATTCTAGAATGTTCTAGAATGTTGATAGCGCTATTTTGTTTTGTTTCACTAAACCGACTGCTTAAACAGTCGAGTGCTTTATGGAAATTTTCAATAGACGTCACTTCAAATCTCTCATCCAGTTCCGATTCCGGCCATGGTTCCCCATTGGGTTCTCTTGACAGATAATCAACAATACCCATATCCCTTCCCGGAATATGAGTAATTTTAAATTGGTAAGGTAGTAATCGGTCAACCCACCTGGTTAGTCGAGATTGATACGTTTTATTCGATCTATGTTCCCCCAAAGCAGATGTTAACGCCTTGTGGTCAGTTGCTATGACAAATTCTTTCCCTAGTAAGTAGTGTTTGAAGCGATCTACCGCCCAAACTACTGCTAACAGTTCGAGTTCATTGGTAGAATATTTTTTTTTCTTGGGAATTTAAATACCGGGATGCAAATGCAATCGGTATCCACTCGTTTTGGTGAGACCATTGTTCCAGAGTAGCCCCTAGACCACTATGGCTTGCATCGCACTTTATTCTAGTTTGCTTTGATGGATCGTAATAGTTTAATAAAGCGATATTAGCAACTGCCTTTTTGATATCCTCAAAAGCTAATGAGTGTTGATCGTTCCACTCAAATTTTTTCACTGGTAAACGAACATTTTTCATTTTTTTTTCATTTTCTTCTTTCAGTAGTGGTCTAAGTTTTTCAGTTAAACTAGCCGCATTTGGGATGAATTTCGACAGATGATTGATGCTACCCATGAATGATCTGAGTTGTTTTAGTGACTTGGGGGGTTTGAGATTTGCAATAGCCTCGGTTTTCGTAATTTTTGGTATTATACCGTGTATCGACAAATTATGATCTAACCAGTTCACTGCAGGCTGAAAAAATTCACATTTCGAAATTTTTAATGCGAGATTTTCATCATCCAGCTTTTGCAGCACATTGCGAACCAATTTTTCATGATCTTTAGCTTCCCCCTTAGAAACAATTAGAATATCGTCCAAGAAACAAGGTATTTTTCGAGTGGTTTAGTGTTCTGTCCATCGCTTTTTGGAATTCAGCCGGCATATCTGCCAGCCCGTAAAAACCTGTCAGAAATCTGTATGTTCCCGTTGCATTACCTCCTACAATATTGAAATTGCATTGTTTTGCTGTTTCCGCAGTTAGTCTTATTTGACTGTAGGCATATTTTAAGTCCAACCCGGTGAAATAAAGAGAGCCTTCTGATGCTGATGTGATAATCTGGCTAACACCATCGATCAGTTCGTCCACATTGGGCATCTGATATTTATTATTGTGCAACTGCCTATTAATGGGTTTGGCGTCCAAGGCTAATTTAATAGAATTGTCTTTTTTGACTGTGATAACAATTGGAGCAATAAAACAATCGCTCGTACATTTATCTAGTTTTTCAATGTGTCCCTCTGTTAGCAGTTTGTCTAGTTCTGTTTGTACTTTATCCTGGATGTGTATAGGAATTCTCCTACCTTTCTCTTGAATCGGGCACAAAGGATATTTAAATTTTGTACTCACCGTGTGATTTTTTGATTCCCCTTGTCTATCAAATAGATCTTTGAACTTCATATAAAAGAAATTCTTCCAGCTTTCTAGCTGTTCGCACAGTAGCACATCAAACCTGGATCTTCGTGTTGGAGCTGATTTTTGGGTGGTCTGAATTCCCAGTTTACTTTAAAGATCTAGACCTAGTATGCAGTGCTTTAATTTGATGAAATTTTGGATTCCTGCGAATTTCAATTTTTTCAATATTGTCCGATTTTTTCGTTCACACTTCCTTCTGAATCTTTTCATCATTATGCACATTCTCTAACACCCGTTTGCTGATGTATTTCTATGTTTGAAATGGAGGTGAATTCTTCCTCTACGGTCATTATTTCAAACTCGTCGCATGAGTCAAACGTTTGTATTAAATTGCACTCTTCCTCTGAACTCGAATCGTCATTTGCGATTTCGTTAACTTGCTGAGACTTACACATTTTTGCGAAGTGGTTGGGTTTGTTACAGTTTTTACATGTTTTACCTATTGCCGGGCAATTTTTCAAATGATTTTCTCCAAACGCTCTACCACATCTCGTGCATTGTTTTTGATCTCTTTTAGCCTTCTGAGTATTCTTATTTTCGTACTGTTTTCTTCTATTTTGATTTTGACGTTTAGAGTTATACCCTTTGTTTCCGATTGCCATAATTGGTTCTTGTTTGATCTTCATTTGTGTATTTGAAAACAATCCTGAGTTGTTTGCGCTTGATGAAGATTTTTGGAATGCTTGAGTGGTTTGTTTGCTATGTTCAAATTTTATCGCACGCTTTAGGACTTCTTCGGGAGAAAACGTTTCGAAAGTTGATGTGTCTTGAAGGACAACATTTTTCATTCTGGAGATAAATAAGTCTCTTACCAATTCTTCTTCCAAAGCTCCCAAGTCGGCCTTTGCTGCTTGTTCAGTCAGTGCCGCATGAAACGATTCCAGCGTTTCATTCGATTCATGGGATCGTGTGAACAGTTTGTATCTCTCATAGGTAAAACATTTCGTCTTCTCAAATGAGACCTTGGCTATACCGATTATATCGCGAAACCCCAGTTTAGATATTTCTGTGTGAGGATTCTTTTGAATAAATTTTTTCTTCCCTTCCGCTCCCAAAGCGAGGAATAATCTCGATGTCAACCGTTTTCCAACTTCGTGATAGAATACATTGTGTCCCACTCTAGGTCCTCTCAGCATCCGTTCTTCGTTTTCTTGAACCACTTTATCTCGAGCCAATCTGTTCCGCGCTTCTCTTTCTGCTACTGCAGGCGCATCCTCGTTTTGCACTGGTGGTTCAGGAGTTGGTAGAGGTTCTTCTAATACCGGTTTAGGTTCTTGTAACATTATTTCTGGATCCACATTCTCTTTAACCGTAACAGCTAATAGGAACTGATCTAGCCATGTTTCAAAACTCCAGGGTGGGTCTGAATTTGCGAATGCCCAGAATACTGGGATTACCAGATCGGTCCTATTGTCTTGCGCTGTAAAACCGGATCCTGCTGACTGCGCCATGTGATAACTAACAGAACCTCTGAGGTTCTATGATGAAAACTGAATTGGTTTCAAAGGATTAACTAAACCGTTGAACCGTATTGTTTTTCTTTTAGTTAGTTTCCGAATTTGACTGTGCACAGAGTCACAGATCTGAGAGAGAATAACTCTCTATCTTTTCAATAAAGGTCGTATAGTGTTGACCTTGGTTATTTATAATAAGATACTATAATTTACAGATAACAATATGAATAGCACGTTCAAGGCCACTATATGATTACTGCATAGTTACTGCAATTGCAGTAGCAGTTGCGGTACCACAGACAGCTTTATAAAATTTGCTGTGAAATTCGATAACTAATAAGTTAGAACAGGTGATGGATATTCATTTCATCAATTAAACCGAATTTTTTTATCTTTTTTATACAACAGCACAATGATGAAAACTCGCTAATTTTTTGAAGTACCCAATTTACACACATTTTAGTTTTATAGTTTCCAATTTGTTTCATGAAAAGTTCTTCCAGTTTCTTGCAAAGTGTTGCTGCCTTACGTTTTTTTTTGGTGGCATTTTTGCTGCATAGCATTATCAATTTCTTAGCATCTGCAGCTGCTTTATAAGTGACTAGTCTTCGAAAAATTTCAAGGGCCTGTAGCGCAGCTGTGAGTATGTGAGATTCTAATTCTCAAAGTTGGAGGTTGGAATCTAACACAGCAAAAGTATTTTTTTTATTCAAAGCCTACTTTTTCTTATTTCATTTTTTTAGAGCTGCATTTGGTTGCGTTTTTGTTTGCGAAATAAAACACTTTTTTCCATTGTTTGTTACCCACTATGGAGTAAGTAGTACTTATAAAGTGTCAATGAAAGTAGTAAAGGCTTTTATGTTGGTCGTAATGTGGATGATTTTTTTTTCAGGGAAAAGTATTAAATTTCGATTATGTCAAATTTGATTGTTTGCGATTTGACTTTTTTCTGAAATTAAATTCAAATTTATTTGATAAAAGCAAGGCAAATTACGCTATCCAATTGATAAAGCGGAAATGGCGCAAGATTGTTTTATTTTTCCCCCAGACAGAAAAATTTAGTATTCAATCAGTTTTCTCTAATTGAACTAGTTTAATCAAAAAAAAAATTTTCGATCATGAAATATTCAAAAAAATTATAGAGATTTAACATGATATATTTATTCTTTGCGTTTCGAGGGTTTATTAAAAAAAGTTTAACATTTTTTCTTCTGCTTGAGTGCTGGGAAACGTTTCCAATTGTTATTGCCCATGTTTTGATTTGTTTTTTTTTATTTAGACACGCAGACGTAATGAAGAAGATTCTTCAGACAGTGCAGGAAGGAGGTGGAGAGATTGGTGTCCATATGTACCTAGTAGTGTTCCTTAAGTTCGTCCAGGCTGTCATCCCCACCATCGAGTACGACTACACAAGGAATTTCAACATGTCCTCTGCTGGATCCTCATCATCAGGAGCAGCAGGCATCAAAAACTCATGATCTGTTGCTAGAGAAACTGTGATGAGTCTATGGGGTCACTAAACGCGTGGTCCTTGTCTGATATATTTATTTTATATGTTGTATATTTTGCATTATTAAGAGTTTTTCTTAATTTTGTCTGGTCATATTGAGTATAAAACAAGAGGACAACCCGAGTAAACGTTTTATCTGAGCTTTATAGTGGCGTTATTTATAGAGCTGCTTTGAAATCGATGTCCTTGAATAATATTGATAATATTATTTCATCCAAACTGGTGCTATTTTTGAAATATTCAAATATTAACTGGATTTTGTGTCTTCAAAACTGGAAGCAAGCCAAGGCGTGAAATTTCGGATGGTTAATTTCCAGTTAATTATTTTGACAAAGTATAAGGTAACGTTCTTGCAGAGCAAATTAATTCCATACTTTCATTTTTCGCTTAATACGACTAATTAAAATATTTTCATATCTGGTTTTTTCATCCCACTTAAATTTACGCATTGATTTAGGTCTTGCGGTTTTTCTTTGTGTTCAATTCGTCCGGAATGTCGTCACCGTCATAGCTAAAGTGTCGGTAATCAAAGTGAATGCTATTTGTTTTTTGAAGTCTATCAGGGCGTTGATTGATGAAAATAAGGAATCTTGAAATTTAACCTTTGCGAAACAGGGTAGATAACAGAGGTGGATCTAGGATTTTCACGAGGGGGGCGGATTTTCGAAAATTCTGTTGACCTTTTTTTTAGGTCGACCAATTTGATTTTTCAAACTCTCCCAAAGCTCTAAAAAGTCCGTTTCGGCCAATATTTCTGCGCCGCAGGCAAAATTTTGAAAAAACACCAAAAAGCGTTTTTAAGCACTTTTTGGACAATTTTGACTAAAAAATCGTATTTTTTTTTCTGCAATCAAACAAACTCCTCCCCCCCCCCCCCCCCCACCCCCCTCAAAAATAGTATATATTGGCGCCTTGAGAAAATTTCAAGGGTCCGTCACAAAGAATGGATATCTCAAAAAAGTTCAAAGGGGGGACCTTTGGGTCGGCAGGGGGTCGAATCCCTGAAAGAAAGGCGTCCCCCCCCCCCCTAAATCCGCCCCTGGTAGACAACCCGCGATTTTTTCCGGGGTTATTTGTGTTCTCATCAATCGAGTCAGTTTTTTTGCGAAAAAGTACGATTTTTTTGCCTGTGTGTCAACGATGTCCCAATCTATTAAAATATAAATATTGAAGTTTTCGATATATTTGCTTTCTTTCTGATTAAAAAATCGCATTTTTTCGCGAGGTTCAAAAGTTCTTCACAAATGAGTCTGCCTCATCTAATTAAGCTTGCGGTTATCGAGAGTTATCAAATCTGAATGTAGGAGTTTTTAGGTAAGCATCCTGTTTAACAAAAAATATATATTTTGAATCATTGGGCAGATACATGTGCGCAATATTAACGGGCTGATATTCTCAATTCTTTAAAAATCCAAGTCAATCTAATGGTTGTTGTTACAGTACTCCGTAGTTGTTGGTCAAATACCTGTCTGCTTAGATTTTTGAGGCTTAGTTTCCACAGCATGAGCTTAATGTAGATCAGGGGAGAATTTAGGGGTGCAGGCGCCCCCCCCCCCCCCTCAGGGATTCGACCCCCTGCCGACCCAAAGAGTTCCTTTTTGTACTATTTTAAATATTCATTTTTGGTAACGGACCCTAAAAATGTTCTCAAGGCGCCTTTGGCGCCAATATATACTAATTTTGAGGGGGGAGCGCGCCAAAACACGGGCTTTCTTTTTAGTGCTTTGGGAGAGCTCGAAAAATCAATTTGGTAGACTTAAAAAAAGGTCAACACAAGTTTCGAAAATTTTTCGAAAATCCGATGCCCCAACATCCCCCCGCCCCCGAGAAAAAATCCTAGATCCGCCCATGATGTAGAGATGTAGATTCAAATTTTTATTACCAAAATTGATAGTTATTTTGAGTTATTCCTCTTAATTGAATTTTTTGTAGCTCCGATTTTTTAAAGTAATGAGCGTTCATGCTGTCAACCTGTCTTACCCATCATATTTAGCAAAAAAACCAGTTAGTTGATAAATTGATTTTTTTGGCAAGCTAGCCAATTCATCGCATTTGATGTCTCCTTGCTTTCCAACCTAATTTTTTAATGTATCTGAAGTGGTATTCAAGTCCATTTTGCTTCTTGTCAAATATTTTTGGTATATTCTGAATGTTTTTTTTATTGTGAGAACAAGTGACTTGTAATCGGAGTTCACAGACACTTGTTACTTTGAACCTAATGGTAGCTAAGATATGTGCAAAAAATTGCGTAAGTAGAAAATTTGAGTAATTCTTTTGTCAAGTTTGTGGAACACGGCAGTACAGTGCTGATTTAAATTAACCTGACAAAACGCGTTAAACTTGAAATTTAAAACGCATTTTGTTCAAATTGGGTTGAGTTTAGGTGAAAACTTATGAAGACAAAACTTGCTTAGAAATTTAGCAGAATTAAAATGGTGTAAATTGTTTTGCGAAATTTGGGTCCGAAATTTTACCCCAAAAATGGGTCATTTCGGCTTTTTTTAGTTAATCAAAAATTACGCCAAAAATACCCAGTCGATCACAGACATAATTATATCAAAGTGAGCACCTTACGTAGCTCAACAAACTTTAAAAAGGGTATACTCTCCAAAATATTGTATAAATTAATTTATTTTTGTTTGATACAAAAAAAAGGTCATTTTTACTATATAAAAAACCAACTTTTTATTTAAAAACAATTTTTAAACAATATGCAATTTTTTTTGGACAAAACACCCTACTTAAAGTTTGTTGAGCTACGTAAGGGGCTCACTTTGATATAATTATGTCTGTGATCGACTGGGTATTTTTGGCGTAATTTTTGATTAACTAAGAAAAACCAAAATGACCCATTTTTGGAGTAAAATTTCGGACCCGAATTTCGCAAAAAAAATTACACCATTTTAATTCTGCTAAATTTCTAAGCAAGTTTTGTCTTCATAAGTTTTCACCTAAACTCAACCCAGTTTGAGAAAAACGCGTTTTAAATTTCAAGTTTAACGCGTTTTGTCCGGTTAATTTGAATCAGCACTGTATAATAAGAGCAGCAGATGATCATTGATTATGTCACAAGCAGCAGATTGTTGAACAAATCAGAAGGACAAAGCAAATTCTTTCGTCACGTTTTTGTTACACCACCAAACTTCGGAGTCGAGTGTTTTTTTCTCGCAATATCACAAGTACGCCCTCAGTCCTGATTTGAGTTTCTTTAAAGTTATTGAGATATGAAACATACGTTCAATTTGTTATGCATGACTGAACAATGTTAAGATTAAGTTCGTATTTTCGCCATTTAAAGATAATTAAAAAGCGAGAACAGTTCAACTTTGACTTTAAACAAAATAATATCATTGAAAAAAAATCATACTAATTAAAAAAACTAAGAGTCAATAAACGAAGCGAAGACAATGATTCAGGTCGTGTGGTTTTTTTACAGAAAAAAATCTTACGAATTTTGATCAAACCCAAATTTGATTGTTCATGGTTTGATTTTCGAATCTTCGGGGTTTAAATTTTGATTAATCGCGGTTTGAATTTTAATTTTATGCTAAATTGAATGCAATATTTTTTTATTAAAAGGAAGGCAAGCTTTAAAAAAAAGATAGCCGGTTACTGTGCAAGTAGCACAGAATGTTCCGATCGGTCTTAAAAATTTCGAACAAAATTATTTTTCAAATTAGTATCGTTTTTTTTTTCGGCGTGGTGTGATAAAGGAATCTAATCGAAAAAGTAGAGCTCAGGCATTTTTGTCAATCATTGTAAAATATGCAAATTGGAAAACAATTTTTGAAGACAACTTACAAAAAAAAAACAAAAATCAAAAAAAAATTTTGAAATTTAATTTTTAAATTTTCCCCAATTTTTTTTTGAAGTTTTTGAATGAAGATAAAAACTCCAAAAACTAGCTTAGTTTGAGTAAAATTAAATTTTCAAGGCATAATTTAGGCATAAACAAGCTAAGGTAAGCCTGCTCACTCGTTCAAAATTAGACAAAAATCAAAAGCTTCAAACCTGTTTTTCTCGACAGAAAAACTTTTTTGAAATTTTTTATGTTCGAACCACGACTGAAAGGGCTTTTCATGATATATCACTCAGCATAGTCCGATGATTATTATTAGTAGCTGATTATTTAAGGAAAGCAAAACGAAAAAAAAATAAGGATAGCGGGTTACTGTGCAAGTAACACAGAATGGTACGACCACAGTAAAAAAAAACTTTTTTTCAAATTGGTGTCATTCAGCATGTTCTGATAGTTGATAGAAAGATCTGAACAGAAAATAGAACTTAGAATTATTTGAAAGTCTTAGTAAAGCAGGTCAATTGGCAAACAACTTATGCAGAAAATTGACTAGAAAAACGAGAAAAAAAGTGAAAATTTTTTTTCCGAAAACCGAAAAAACCCAAAAAATAACTGTACTTGACTAAAACTCAGTTTTCTCGGCTTAAATTAAGATTATACGGCTCATCAGCTGGAAATTAGACCAAAAATCAATAATTTCAAACCGGTTTTTCCCGGCACTGAAAAAATTTTTAAAGTTTTTTATTTTATGTCGTTCAAATTAAGACTGAAAGGGATTTAAAATAATATATCACTCAACCCTGTCCGATGATTATATCTGGTAGCTGATTTTGCGTGGAAAACAAAAAAAAATAAAAAACTAAAACACCCGAATACAAAGTTCCTCCCCATTTTCACTAGTCGGAACAAAAAGACACAACTAAATACAAAGATCCTCCCCATTTTTAATGATCGGTAACACAACGTAAGTTTTCAGGTTGCTTCAAATTTTACAATTTCGAAAGAAAAAAATATCTATTTTTTCATTTTTTCTAAATTTGGTAGTCTTACTAAATTTAAAGAACAAAGTTATGGTCGATTACGCAGACGTCGTGATGTTTTTTGTTCTTTTCAGGGGAAAACGTGTAATTTATCAAAATGTTGACGCTCGAATTTGATTTTTCCCCAATTTAGTTTTCATTTTGTAACTTCAGTGCATTTCCTTAGGTAAAGTTAGTGCCTTTCCTATGGTAAAACTCGATTATCGAACAGCAAAAGGGTGAAAAGCGCAGGAAACGCGTTAGTATAATTAGCGCTAAAATGTAGAAAGTTGACAAATAGAAGGTGTAGAAAATTGGAAAACAGAGCGCAAAAAAGTGTAAAATTGAAAAAATTGGTTTTTTTGAGCTCACTAACAGATTTTGAACAACATAATTGCTATGTTTGAACGAATGCTTACAGAAAAGATTCTAAAAACGCAAAAATACTCAATGTGCATATTTGTCCTCTTCTGAAGTGATCACAATTTTTTTTCTTCAGTTCATTGACACTCCGCTTATTCTGCTCAATTTATACAGTAAAAACAAAACAGAATCGGTTTTCAATTCACAAAATATGGTCGAAA